AAGCACCCCCTTGGGGCATGACCATGCTTCAATTCCTTCTCCATTTTTCTCTCAGCATTTGGTGCATGCAAGCACATGTGTCCAGTGTGGTTTTTCAAGCCTCTGGGTCCAGTATTTAAACCATGGAGTCTACCATGTGGTATCCAGATGCCTTAATCACCACACCACTGGCTGGCCCCACAGTTAGCTTACAAGACAGACATTCTCCTGACCATTGCAGTGATAAAGAATCAGAGTGGTTGTTAAAGCAGTGAGTGAAAGGCTTATAGCAAATGATCACCAGAACTGCCTTCCTAACTCCCAGATTCCTATTCATACCACTATCTCGGGCTAATTTTTCATTCTATTTCATTCTTCTTGTTTGTTTACTTTGCCATATGGTTGGTTGGCTATCTTCCTTTTCAATTAAATTTGAAGTGAGCCAACAGAGGGGAACATGCGATATGTTTAGTGTCTTCCTTAGTACCCAGTATGGTGTTTTGGTCATACAGAATGCTCTCAAGAAATGATTGTTGGAATGAAAATTCCAATACTATGAGTAACAAGCTGTGTCAGGGTTTGGACTGGTTGGATAGTGGTATGCCAGATGGCTAACAATAACTTTGTTTATGTTTTTTTTTTTTTCTTTTGGCAAGTCAGCATGATTAAATAAAATATCATCCAAGGTTTGAATGTATATATGTGTATATATTCTTAGCGAAAGTATGTGTGAGTATGTGTGTTTGTGATTTATGAAAACTTTAGAATAAATATTTAAAGGAATTTTGATAAAGCTGGCTGAATGTTAGGCTGGGAGTTTGGTGAATGCGTGTAAGCACTGTTTAAGGCTTGTACTCAGGGTCTTTGCTCTTTATTAAACTTAGCTCCACAGATGAGGTTAAGTAAAACAAAGATACAAAGTGAAGAATAGCGCCACTAATTAGCACTAGTGGCTGCTATTGTTAAGGTATTGATAAAATTGCAACTGTGTTTTGACAACATTTGTATTTAACTATCAACTTTCCCAAATTTGATACATACCTGGCCAACTTAGAGCTAAGTAGCCAATTCTAACATGATGTTTTTAAAGAGAAACAAAAGAAAACAAAAAATCAAGGCAGAGTTATATGTCTTGTGCAAGCTTTTAGGCAAAGTTTCAACAATTTAGTCGTCGACATTTGGGTAAATGTTAAAATATCTCATGCACTTTAATAGGAATTGGGATTTTTCCTGCCCTTAATTTACTGTCTAAAAGTTTGGAAAGTTGGCAGAAAATCTTGGGAAAACTAAAAGTCCACTTCTCCCAATATGGCATTGCTCATCCTAGTGTAAAATAAGCAACCAAAAAGGAAAAACTTAAAATATTGTGATGTATTGAATATATAAATTAAAATCAATAATCTAGAAAGAGTTCTTAAAAATCAGTAAGGGGACCAGCAGTTAGCATAATGGCTATGTCCCTGGACTCCCATGTAGTCGACTGGATTTGAGTCCTGGACCTGGTGGCGTAAAACTTACACCTAGTGCATGTGTGTGTACCCAAGACCCTGAGAGGAGAATGGAGGAGAAGGGATTGCGGCATGGCCATCCCCCCTGGGGGCTGATTTCTCACTTTCTCTCTCTCTGCCTCTCTCCGTCTGGCGAGTGCATGCCCCCTATAGCAAAAACCTCTCAAAAAAAAAAAAATCAGTAAGAAAATGGGTAAAGGTTATGAACAGGTATTTTGTTTAAAATACTAGAATAGCCAACAAACAGCATATGCTGCATTTCACTGGTTATGAAAAAATCAAGTTAAGATGGTATTGTGATAATCACTTTTTTTATTAAATCAATACATGTTGAAAACAGTTAACTCTTGTGCTGGTAGGAGTGATATGTCATGGTGCTCATATAAGATTCTAGTGGAAGTAGAAATAAGTATAATTTTCTGTATAAAATTGTGTACTTAAGTTTCAATGATCTCGAAAACATGTGTCATGTTTTACCCAGCAGTTCCACAGTTGGGAAGCTACTCATAGTTAAGTCAATAATTTTACATTTAAGGAGGTGTGTGTAAGATTGTTCACTCAAGTGTTACATATGTTAGGATAATTTGTGTACACCCTAAATTTCCAGATAAAGATAGGTAAATAAATTGTGATACGGCCATACATAGTGTAAAAGGACACTTACCAACATCAAAAAATATTTACACTTTAGTAAGGAAAAAGTAGAGAGTAAAAGTGTTTACCCTTAGTTGTACTTTCTTGCATTCTTAATTTTCCACTGTTAAAATTCATTACTTTTATAATTAGAAGAAGAAAAGATATTTTACAGTGGAAAGAAAGTGACATAAAATAGGATATTGTAGACCTGTTTCCCTGAGATGCGTCTGCCATGCGTGGTCATGCCTGTGTGGGCTCAAGTCCTGGCTCCTGAACTCACTAGCCATGTGATTCAGGCAGTCCTCCGTGCCCTGTTGTCTTCATTGTAACTCAATATTGGAGTCATACCTACTTCACAGGGTTGCTGTGAGGATGAAAGGAATTTATATATGTTAAGTACTTAGAATAGCTTCACATACAGCAAATGCTCAATACATTTTATGAAGACTTTTATAAAGTGCAATGACTTTTTTTTTTTTGCCTTCGGGCACATGCATTCAGCAGAGAGAAAAAGAGAGAGAGAGAGACAGAGACAGTGAGAGGGAAAGTGAGAAATCACCCCCATGGGTATGCCACAGTCCTTTCTCCTCCATTCTTTTCCCAGGATCTTGGGCACACACACACACATGTGCCTGGTATTAATTTCAAGCCACTGGGTCCAGGACTCGAACAGTAGTTGACTGTGTGGGAGTTCAGTGACATAACCGCAATGTCATCTGCTGGCACCTACAATGACATCTCTTTTTTTTTTTTTTTT